GAACTTTCCAAAAGGGAAAAAAAAGTTTTTGCACTCTGCAAACCTCCCAAAGACAGCCCATTTTTCACAAAAATGGGCCCGTTTTTTTCCAAAAAAAGAGGCATGAATAGCCTTGGGGGGCCTTGCAGAGTGCTCCAGGGGGGGGGGCAAAAATGAGCAAAAAATGGCCCATTTTTTGTGAAAATGGGCCTGTTTTTTGTCAAGAAAATTGCATGCATAGCCTTATGGAGTGCTGTTGGGGGGCAAAAAAGTCTCATTTTTTCTCATTTCTGCCCTCCCTAGCCCCCAGGAGCTCTCTGAAAACCTCCATAAGGGTATGCATGGCCATTTTGGTATATTCGATGTATAAGACACACCCAGATTTTCAGCCTCTTTTTGGAGGAAAAGGGTGTGTCTTATATTCTGAAAAATACGGTACTTACTTACTTATTTATTTACATTGTTGTGGCCCATCAGTGGCCAGCAGATTCTCAATTCATTAGAATGAAGATCTGTTCTTGACTTCTTGCCAAGTAATTGCTACTACAGCGTGGCATTTGAAAGATATTGGCCTGGCAACTCTCCAAGCCTGATAAAGGTCTGTAGTTGTGAAATCTCATGAAAGACTGTTTGCGGGGACTTTGCTGAAGAGGAATTCCCTTTAATTTAAATAAAAGAGGTTTTATCGGGACAAGGAGTCTGCTTCATGATCTTGGGAAGTCTAGGTCACAACACTTGCTTAGTTAGTTAGTTAGTTAGTTAGTTACCGTACTTACTTACTTACTTATTTTTAATTTCTATATCTGCCCATTTCAACAAATGACTCTGGGTGTCTCACAATTCAAAAATATATTACAATTAAAGTCTTAAAACGATTTTAAAATAAAAACAGTAAAAACTATTAAAACATTAAAAAAAACTAACTGGAAAATATACAAAGCAGGACATCTGGCCTGTTAACAATATAGCCAGGAGGCGGGACCCTTGGAGAATGCAGTGCCCCAGGCTCAGAAGAATAGCCAAGTTTTTAAAAACAGGTTTGGGGCCGTGCTAATCTGTAATTGGAATGGAGGATGTTCTACAGAGCAGGGACTGTTGAAGAAAAAACTTGTCTTCTAGTCCCCATCAACCGACATCCTTTGGCTAACAGGATCTGCAGCATTCCCATCAGTGGTGCATTCCGGATCCCGTTGCAACTGGGCCGGGCATCCACCACATGAACGTGCGCAGCACACATACACACACGCAGCACGTGCATGCATACTTACCACCTGCGATGCTCTGTGATGCTCCAGCTGCTCACCAGAGCATTGCGCAAGCACTGTACTCTCCATGTGCATGCGTGGTAGCCTCGAAAACCTCAAAGGAGCGTGGGAGGGCAGGTGGGCCCTCCAGAGCACCATACCAGAATGGTACCTGGTGCTCCCAGCAGGCATCGGTACCCCTGTACCGGGGCGTACCAGTCGTAACCCACCACTGATGCCCATCCTATTTTATCTAGTTGGATTAGTAGAAATTCTGGGAAAAAGGCAATTGCTCAGGTACCCTGATCCCAAGCCATGTGGGGGCTTTATTGGTAATCAACAGCACTTTGAATTGAAACTCAGAAACAACAGATAATCAGTGTAGCTCATGTAAGAGTAGTGTTATATGTGCCCTAAAAACAACTACTTTTATTGGTATCTATCCTAACCCTGGAATATGACAAGGGATAGGGTCTTACAGCTTATATAATTAATCAATCGCAGAAAGTATAAACAGAATCAAGATTTTTTTTTAAAGGAAAAGAGAAAAGTTAAACAATTTTCCCCCCTTCATGGAGTCCTTGATGCTTTCTGAACTTGGTTGTTTGCTTGCAGACATTTCCTTACTTAGCTGGGTAATTTCATCAATGCTAACAAGCATGGGGTTTGATCCCTGTTTATATACAATACCTTGCCCTGCCATTGTTGGTGGAGATACGGTTTTCTTCCTCGCAGTTTCTTGATTAGGGAATTGTTTTTTGCTTGATTGTTTATCTGATGCTAATTCCTGCTTATTTGGGTGCTAGTTGCTGGAAAGGATGTGTTCTGGTCTTTCTGTTTCTTTCTTAACTTTTTTATTGTCACTTTTGAATGGCATGTAAATGTGGTTTACCTCTATGTGTAGGAAGTTAGCTAATTGGGTAATGAAATGTCTGCAAGCAAATAAGGATACCAAGGAGAATACCAAGGATTCCACAATTCAACCCTAGGCTACATATACTCTCTTCTATTGGAATTCTTTTTTCAGTTGATTTTGAGTTGTCATAGGCAAGGTGGTGAAGCAGATAAAAATACTGTGCTGCTCGAAATCCATATAGCAACTGAAAAAAAAATGCAAAAGAAAAATATACTGCTCCTCGAAATCCATATAGCAACTGGAAAAAAATGAAAAAGAAAAATATACTAGATAGTAAGCGCCTGAGCAGACTGCAGGATAATAGCTCTGGTATATGAGTATTAGATATGAATTCCACATCTGAATGTGGAATGAAACTCAGATGCATCTCGTTTCAGTGAATGTGAGAAAAAACTTTCCAGCACAGTATTTTTTTGAGGGTGGAGATTCCTAATTCACAATCTTGGTTCAATGTATATTTTTCATTATTCCACTGTATAGTTTACTTCTGCATGCCTATATAGGGAGATTCATCAGAAGTCTTGTCTTAAGATACTTACAGAATAACTAGTCTGCTTTTCTTACAATAAAGCTAACTAAATGACAATCTAGTTTTCTTAGTTAAGAGCCACCATTAGGGTCTTGACAAATTATTTGGAACTCATCTTTAAAGGCAGACCACAATATATGTGGATTTTTTTTTATTTAGCAGGAAGGGATATTGCACATTATAATAAGTTGCATTTATCATTTGATGGAGGGGCGTGGGTTTGACATGAATCAGTAACAATCCAAGAGTAAGGAGCAGTGAAGATTTTATGATTCTCCATTTCTAAAAAATATGTTTTAAAAATGCTGCTAAAATAGGTTATCTCCCTTGGTAGAAAACCTAAGTAGGAAAAAAATACAGTGGACATGGTGATGACTCCCCTTGTATGGAATTACGGTCTGGATCTGCTTTGGATGAGGCTGCATGTCTTCTAAAGGAATGAAGAAGCATCATATGTGAGTACACTAGGAATCTTCATATTGATGGAGACACAAAATAGTTTCCATGAAAAGGTGGGACTTTTCCAACTCTTTCTGATGTAGGAAATATTTTAACAGATTTCCCACTAACTCAGGGTTGTCAAATTCGTGGCTCACAGGCCAGATACATCACACACTGGCCACCCCCATCCCCAGTGCAGAAGCACTTATACCAGGAACTTATGTTCCAAAAAGGATATTTACATTTCCTTATTACAAATAGTTACAAAGGGCATTTAGACTTTATTTATATGTCTTTCTGTTTGTTTAATATACTTCTACTTCAGAAAAAAATAAATCCAGGCAACTGAGTCCCCTTCGGGGAAAAGGGCAGCATAGAAATATAATAATTCAATTCAACATAAAAAAGTGATATATAATAGATGCATTAACAGAAATCTATTTTTAATTTGTTTGTTTTTTTAATTTTTGTGATATACAGCAATGTGAACAGTGAGGCATCATTCATTTAAATACAAATAATAATAATATTAATAATAATATTTGTTATAATCATGCTTATGTAATGGTGGTGGTATTTTACATATTTGTATTAGAGTGTGTGCCTTTATTGTCTAGTGGTTCAGTGTTTTTGTGCACCATTCTAATAACAATCACAATGTTATTTACATGTACATAGTGATACCATCTTTCAACATTTAATCTTTACATCTAGCTATTACTTTTAGTATATTATATAAAATATGTATAATAATATTCCCCCTTGATCTTGTTTCTGCCTCTATTCTAACTCTCAATAAAGCCAATCTTATATTAAACAGCATTCTCTTTCTAACCATCATCTCTTGACCATTTTAGTATTTCAATTCTTATTTGTTTTTTGACTTGCCTCCCAAACGCCCCCCTTGGGTCTTTTTCTCTGTCTACATCTTTCCTATTTAACCCAAATATTTCTTCCATCTCTACTATCTTTTGCTGCTGTAGCTATGGAGCAATAGCAATAGCAATAGCAGTAGACTTATATACCGCTTCATAGGCCTTTCAGGCCTCTCTAAGCGGTTTACAGAGAGTCAGCATATTGCCCCCAACAATCTGGGTCCTCATTTTACCCACCTCGGAAGGATGGAAGGCTGAGTCAACCCTGAGCCCGTGAGATTTGAACCGCTGACCTGCTGATCTAGCAGTAGCCTGCAGTGCTGCATTTAACCACTGCGCCACCTTGGCTCTGGAGGATCTGTCCAAGCCCCTACCTTCTCTTCAAAAATACATTTCTTTTTATCCAATCCCATTTTTTTGATCTCTTAATATATATTGTCCCTTATTTGATTCGTAAGTCTTTATTGTTTTCTCCTTCTTCTCGTTTTATTTATTGATTTATCTGTTCTGTCTTTTTCTCTGGTCTTTCTATTAGCTCCTCTATTTCCTGTGTTTTATGATCTTTATTCATTCTTCCTTGTTGAACATTTTCTGATTTCACCACAATGTCATACATTAAGTCTTTTATCTCCCTGTGGTTTTTTACCAACATATCATAAGTACTTTGGAGTATCAACACCAATTCTTTTTGAAATCCACTCATCTCCCCCTGATACAACATCTTGTCTTATTTTGATATGTCAAAATGTTGCTCAATAGCCTGTCAGTAGTCTGTCACTGCCCCAAAGTCTCAGTTGTCTATGACCTCAGAAAGACATCTTAGAAACCGTTTACTCAATCCTAATGTTCCTCCTCAGGGGATTGCAATAGTTATAGTTCTTTGTGTCCCACAGTTAGTCAATTAGTTCCATTTAGGTAATCCAGGAAGATTTCCAAATGTCTGCTTAAGTCCACTCTCTAGGTTCAATCATAGATCCTGGCATTTAAAAGTTGCTTTCTTTAGATGTCTTCCATAATCTCATCGTTAAATCTCCAATAACCATGAAGTAGACAGATATAGAACAGTAGATAGCACAGCAGTCCTCCAGGTGTTATTTATTTCCACTTTTTTTCCTTTGTCTTTTTTTCCTTTGTCCTTTGTACATCTCAAGGTTGTAGGAGTTTAGTATATATTCCATACACCAGTAGATGGTGCCTTCAGCTTAAATGTCAACATTACACAAAATCTAACAGATACTTATTTCAGTTTTTTGCAAATAATCTTCAGACAAATAATTCCAGCATTTTAAAATGCCTTACCAAAATATTGCCAATAAAGTTTAAAAATACAATTTTTCTATATTTTAAAAATTTTGCCCTCTCCCTTTAGTTCCTTTTCTTTCAGGTATATGATTTTTTTTCTCTGTAATTATTCGCCACTTTGACAAGCATTTCAAAGAGTCTCTTTTCCAGGGTTTATTTTCTTTGGGGTTAGGTTCTAGGTAAAAAACAAATCACCTCACCCAGTTCCAATCACTGTTCATCTATACCACTCCAGCACACTTTTTTTTTCTTTGGCTACCCCAGCTTCACTTTTCATTGTTGGAAGGGAGGGAATCCCTGTGTCCAGCTGGAGAGCTGCTGCTCTCCGTGACCTGAAGGGTGCTCCTCCTTTCTTTGTCACCCCTATAGGGTGACTTTAGCCCCTTGGGGGACCCTCCTACAAGGTGGATTTGGCGTGAGTTCATGGAGCCCTGCTCCTTGCATCCAATCTCACCATGACATCAAATTGGAAGCACATTAACAGCACTCTTATACCCCCCAGATACATCCAAGCTCCATATATCAGTCCTCAAATACTATGTTTTCACTAATCGTGTAAATATTAGCAACAAAGATGCTGAAGCAGAGCTAAAACAGAAGAAAGCGAAGAGGGGTCACACTATGAAAGAGCTCACAGGAAATCTGACTTCCAACTGAGGAAACATAGTAAGGATTTCTATGTCACACTGACTCAAAAAAAAAGGCAACCAGGAGCCTATCAGAGAAATTATTATACATTGTGTATTGCAGAATTGGAGGGTTGTGATTCAAAGTAGTAAAGAAAGGACAAGGTAAAAGATGCTGCTTTAAGGTATTATGGAGAGAGAAATGGAAATTTAAGCAGAACTTTTCATGTAGATGGAAGAAGCATCTGCATCTGTGGTCTGAAGCAGCCACATCCTTTCCCTGTGCTTCTTCATTCCAAGCATCATGCTGGGCTCAGGTGCGGAGCCAGTGTACCTATTTGCTATTGCTTTGTCTACTTCTTCCAAAAGGACAATGTGATATGAGAGAAAGCCAGACGTTTTGAGTTGACTTGAGCATAGAAGGACTCCACAGAAAGGAATCTAAGAAGAGTCACCCTTAGAAGAGGAAGTGGAACTAACAAAAGTCCCTAGATTCTGTCTGGGTCATCTTTGCTCAGAAGCAGTGTTATTGCAGGAACTGTTTTGGAGAACACAAATTTGTACTTAGGAAACATTTTCTGCTAGCAATAGAGTGTTTAGTGTACAAGCCTAGCTTGGTCATCTGCAACTGGACTGCTACCAACAGCTAACTGGGCAAGGAAGAATAGGAGTACTGCCATTATGTGCCATTCAATCTGTATGAACTCTTAGCAACCATACATAGGCTTTTTCAGGGCGATTCATATATATGAATATAGTTAAAGACCAAGTACTTTCTTTAAGAGAGCACCATACTTGCCAGGAATTCACTTGAGAGAGAATTCTCTCTTGAAAACAATGTGGAATTCCTTCTCTAATCATAGCCATGTAATCGGCAATTTAAGACAAATCTGTTCACCAGACTTAGAATTAAATTTGGGTGCTGTGCTATTATTATTATTAGAATAATTGAAAGGATGTATAATGTTACTGTTCTATGATAACAGATTGTCATCTATTCCCATGGAATAATGCAATATATACAGTGACTTATTTTAAACTAGCATGTTTTTAATGAAGACAAAAGCATTATATTGGGTGAAACTGTGGTAAAATGGTAACTCATATGAGTAGTGGGTTGAAAAGCAACCACTGCTCTCTCCCTCCCTCTCTCTCCATCCATCCATCCATCCATCCATCCATCCATCCATCCATCCATCCATCCATCCATCCATCCATCCATCCATCCATCCATCCATCTATCT